TTTCATTCGGCTAGCTTGAGAATCACATTTTCCAGTAGATAATTAATGCATAAATTATTGATAAACTTAGCTTCATTTTATATGTTTAACCAAGGACGATAGCACTCCTTAGTTCACAGACATTTATTCTATAAGTTTTAATAAAAGTCACTTTAGTGATAAGACATATAGTCTCAACTATGCTTGCCACTCATCTTATTGTTGTTACTGAATATATATTGTGAATGAAACAATCGATGGATATTCAGTACTTGTCTGGAGAGTTAATTGTTTAACAGCAAACCACTTAGTTGGATCTACACAATTATTTTGTCCGGCCAATACAATCGTTGGACATTCTTACAGTCTTCTTCTGATGAAATACGGTGATAAACGTCCAGTACTGTATAATATGATGGTTATGTGTTGCTTAAGTATTGTGATTTCCTCCTTGACCAGAATTATGTAACTCATTAACTCAGTACTCATTGTTCAACCATAGCTATTTGAGATTCTGACTAGTCATCCTGGTACCATCGTTTGTTTATCTGCACACTTACCACTAACACTGAATCCCTAAAAATACATACCATTCTCTGCTGAAGTGAAATTTTCAAGGCTTTGTGAGGAAGAATGCTGCAGTATCAATTGGAATAGCTGTGAAAGCCACGCTAGAAACTCTTGAAATAACCAATTAAGTTTCCATTATTTTGGTATTTGCATTTCCCAATGAATGTAAAACACAATAAATTTGTTCCAACTGACGGTTAGTTACTTAGTCCCAAGAGCTTAGTCAAAGTTATAGTAAACTGGGATTTACAATAACCAAGCTTATATATGACAACTGGACAAGTGTTATTCTACATGAACGATTGATTCTGCGTTGTCACAATCGTAGAATAAAGATGATATCTATATGTAGTGTTGTTGTGCGTGAATTATAGATTGAGATTTGTGTATGTACACATGTGGTGATAGTTCTTGTCGCTGTGATGTATGTTGGTTATGTGAGTGTGTGGGGGTGGGTTGTGAGACCAGGTCAAACTGCGTTTTACTCTCTCAATCCTGTTTAGAAAATTCTGATTCCACTTAATGTGAAGAGATTCTGCTATGAGACTTTCCTTATAATCTCCAAAGCCTTTCTGAATAATTTCAATATTATGGCGTGATATTATAGCATGTAGAGCTATGGCTGATGTGTTTTCTAGTTTTTTCACTTCCAGTAGATTTCTGGGCGGAGGGTCGGATGGAAGCTCTTTGATGTTTATTTTTCCTAATCTTGATTTCATGGGAAGTTTGTCCTATGCACACTGCATCGCATTCTGAGCATTTTATTTTATAAACACAATTAGATTATGAATCTAGAGGGATCTCGTCCTTCAAGTGAACTAAGATGCTCTACAATGTTTTCGATGTTCTGCAGAAGACTCTGATATTGCATTTGTTGAGCACTCTCCTAATTTCATCCGATATGTGTGTGATTTGTAAAGGATAACTGTCGTTGAGGCCCACGATTTAGAAGTAGTTCTACGACCTAATTTAATGTTATTTTCTATTTTGTAAGTGAATTTCATCGGATAACTATTCATTTCAATTACTTTGTTCACATATTTAAATTCCTTAACTCTTTCATTATCATTCGTCACTAGAGTGTCTACTCTCCTTAAAAGACTGGAGGCAACAGAAACTTTCACACTAACTGGATGTGATGAGTTGAAATCTAACTATTTGTTCGAATGCGTTGATTTTCTGAAAACGGTTATACCTAAATATCTATTTTCTTTCCTCTTAACAAGACGATCAAGGAAAGGCAGTTCACCCTCTTGATCGTTTCTTCTCAGCTGAACTTCATACTGGGAGGTCTAGAGTTCATCTGATCTAGGAATGCCTAGCATAAATCGCGTTTTAAAATTATGAATGTGTCATCAACATACTTCAGTCAAATTTTCGGCTTTAGTAAATGTGCGGACTCTCTCTCTTTGGATTTACTAAGAAATAGGTGTGCTACTATGGGTGAAACAGGTAAACCCATAGCTACACAGCTAGTTTCTCTGTATCACTAGTCTGCATAATTAGATTTCCTTATTACGGGTGATATAGTAGTTTTCATTGACAAACTGAACGCTGTCGACTATTTCAATAACTATGAGGATGGACTTTACAGTCACTCATTCGGAGTCTGCACACTCTGATGAGCAGTGAAAAAAAATAGTGGTGCATATTTATTTACATTTTGCGTACATAACCCTATAAGACATCATGCATTTGTTAGAGATTTGGTTGCTCTTATCTTTGTAGGGAAACCTAGGCTTCCAAGTCAATCTCTTTAAAGCAACAATGATCGTTATTTGAAAGTTGTTTGAAATTGATCACGGTAGCGCGGACGATTGCGTACGCTTCAACTTCATACACTTCATAAGGTCAAATGTCTCACACCTTGCTTTTATGGTCTTTTCTCTTATTTTTTTCGTCACATTCAAAGAAACTAGAAAAGCGAGACACGAGAAAGAATGTTTATTACTGACATCTTGTACACTACTCATCAAATACTGTACACCTTCCACTAAAACAGTCGTTTGCACAATATACTTCATTTCCTCTTCTGCTTCTATCTCCGTCTTCTTTTAATACGTCCGCATTATCTCTTGTGTTTCTCTGAGCAGAATCTTTACTCATTGCTGGTAATTGCCTATGATTTCTGCCTTCACAACACATACTACTTATATCTAATCTTATCAGTAGCCCTCCCCCCTGCACTATGACAACTTCCAGTGTTTATATCATCATTATTTTCATTTCTTCATCCAACCACCTCTCTGACTGTTAACCAGAGGCTGTATTGATGTGAAAAATGAACGAAATTCAAATGATACTTAATTCTGCCAGTTTGTGTCCCGCGTATTCCTCAGTTCCACCAAAAGATATCTAAACTACTTCATAAAAGTTGAATTTGAAGGTTTGTGGGGATTTATTTTATTGATTCCGGGTTGATATTCATCATGGACTGCCACCACTTGGAAAGCCATTTGGTCCGCGAAAACACTGGGCAAATGCTTCGTCCTAGCATGGGACTCCTCATCGGTGTGCACCCAGGAGTCCAAAATCGAATGACATCAGGACCGTCTGGTCTTGTAGGCAACGTGTTAATCCTTCATCCAATGAATCAAAGTTCAATGGTCTAAAGTTTCCTAATTATGTCAGCACGACTATCCACGTGGGTCTTCAGCTGCTATCCACTTCACTTTTAACTGACCGACACCACCGATAGCATCTTCCCATTAGAACATCGGGATATCCACCTCGAAACATATCACTAATGACCACTTTACAGTAATATAATTTGAGGTTCACTGCCAACTGACAGAAACAGGAAACCAAGGACCACTGAAATAGAGCAGAATATTTGTAGCTCAGGTGGATGGTCTTGGTTGTATTGTGTTCTCTGAGCTGGGTTGTTTAATCGATTAAACGACCATAAAAGGAAGGCAACTCAGGAGCGCCACGAAGAATTCTCAATAAAACTGGCCAGCAAAAGAGTGGTATTTAAACCAACAAACGGGCTTAGAAACAAGCTTTCTAGGTTAAAAGATCGTATCGATGCAATTCAGCAAAATAATCTGGTTTACCGAATCCCTTGAAATGACTGTGTGGTCAAATACGCAGATGAAAGTAGTCGACTGGGGTTGATTGGAATAACAGCGCAAAGGCTTAATTAAATCAAGACAACTAGATTATAATTAGATAGAAAATTCAGAGACAAGCTCGACTATAGCTCTGCACGCAATTACACACAGTCACACAGTAGGGTGGGAGAGAGCGAGTCTTGAAAACTAACTTAGTTGGGTGGAGGGAACGAAGGACGAAACTTCAAAGGACATCTTCACGTCAGCCAGTCATCAGGACAAAATGGGAGATATTGAGCAACATCCGTGAAGGAACCTCTGCGGAAGAACACTGGAACTCTTTGAAAGTGACGTGGAAGGAAACCTGCATGATTGTGTTAGGAAGGAAGAAGAGGTAAGACAAGGGATGGATCTCTACGGACACATGGAAGCTGATAGAGGAGGGAGAGGAAGATGGTGATGGTGAAGTAGAAGATGAACCAGTGCAGATAGGGATGAACAATGAAAAGAGGAACTGAACACAACCTATAAAATACTACACTGGACAAAGAAGTGAAGAAGAGTGCGCACAAAGACAAAAAACAATCCTACGACACACTGGCAAGTGAAGCAGAACAGGCCGCAGGTAGGAGGGACAGAGACCTGACAACATTGTATCGGATAACCAGGTCATTATCAGGGAGGGGAGAGATCAACGCAAATGAAACCAATGAAAGATTGTGAAAGAAACTTAGTTACCAAAGAGAGGTGGTCCTCGAATTTCCAATGAAAAGTCCTGACCTGTGCAGCCAAACAGGTCGAATATGAGAACAGTTACCCAACTACGACATTGGGCGTAGGTCACGCTACATCATGAATTGACAAAAGTATGAAATATGAACTACTGAATTCCGACCCATTGGCTCAAGGGTGAGGTGGTGATTACGGAGCCTGAATGTTTTGGGTTCGATATGTGTGGGGCTGGGGTCATGAGTACCCACTGTTGGAGTCCCATACTAGGACGAAGTGGCTGTCCTGTACTCCCTACAGGTTTCCAATGTCCCTCCAACTGATGTCAGTCCTTAATGAATTTTCACCTAGTTGTCTTATATGTTTATGAAAACAGTATATAGATGATGTATTTTTGTATCGAATTAAGTGTCTTCTTTACAATCATAGGTCAGTTTTTGTCTACATACATTTCCACAGCTGAGGGAATTATAAAGTACCGATAGGGGACAGTCGGTAATCATATCCACTCCAAGGTGCGTATCGCATTAGCATCGGCCACGTATTTCCTTTTGTTCACTTGGTCAATTCAAACACTAAGTTATAAAGCAAGTTATTAGATGAGATTGAGGCGGAATCGACTGATGTTAGATTGTAGTTTATCCCCTTCAATTGATCAATACGTTTATTACTAATAACATTCTTTTATTTAGATGAAAGTGATAGTTTTAATGGAAAACAAAAAAAGGGTTTGATCATTGAAACGTTTCTGGAAAAATGAAATCAAGCACTTTCAATAACTATCCAAGTGAAAATATGAAGTTAACTATTACTACTGTCGTCATCATGGTTGTCATTATCTCCTCTGACGAATAACCTGTAATTGTGCATATCCTGTATACAACCCCATTAAATTAAGGATGATCTTGATGCCTGCAAAAAATAATAGCATAAGAAAACACTGAAAAAAATAACAAAGAAAAGCATTGCATGCAAAATTGTAGTTGTATGAAGAGATGAAAAACGGTTGATGAAACCAACAGACAGACAATAGGTTACCCATTATCCTAACACTCACCACCAACTCCCCACCCCTCTATAAAGCAACAAAGTGACGAATAGCAAAGACATAAATACGAAAGGCAGGAGAGGCGAGAAGATAGGAAACAAAATACTCCTTTCTTTAGTAAATAAACGAGTTTGAACATAAAAACAAACTCATAGGGGGCGGGAAGTATTGAAGTCAAAATGAACAGGTAAATTTAGTGATTCATAAACAATTGTAAAGACAAGATAAAGAAAACTAGGGTGCCAACAGTAACAATGAATTATGACAGTAAGTAAAATCAGTAGAACACTACAGATCCACAATGAAACAAAGTTACACATATTGTATGGTGTGTAAAGAATAGTTTTTTTTCAAATAAGTTTTTTTGGTTTTTCATTCATCATTCATACCTCACTCATAATTGATTTAACATTGAACATACTAGATTTGTACTGTTGTGATCATTTTAAACAGTACACAACAAGGGAGCTTCTACAACAAGTGTTGTTCCAATCAATTGAGCAGTGACAGAGAATGGATCCACTGTCTCAGGGATCTCATATGACTGAGTGAATTCAGCTGTAGAAGTTGATGATGCTTCAGTTTTCTTTTGACAACCTGTTATAACAATACAATTTGAATCCATACGTACACATAATTCATCTGCTTTGTAAATTGGATCTATAGTCACTTCTAAGTGTAATTTTCTTCCATTTATACCATCCTTCATGATTGTTGGCCCAGAACGACCTAGATGATAATTGAAGATAAACAAAAAATCTTATAGAAGTTGTCATAAAACCATCCAGGACTAAAATAATGTTGTTATTCATTCATACATTAGAAGTTGTGAAAAGATTTAGCCTGTACTGAGTACAACTGACGGGATACAATTCTATGACTTTAGACTTTAGAATCATGAGACTGGACAAATAGATAAGATTACTGAAAATCTCTCAGCTACGGTCAAGGTGTATCATTCAGTGATTTTGTTTAAACTCTCTTAACTGTTAAGTTTTTTACGGTGTTCTTCGAAACCCATCTAGCATCTGTGGATCACGGCATATTTACTACCATTGAGTCGTCTTCGAATCAACCAGGTAATAACAAAATAGGACAAGGCATTACTGCTCAATGCTCAAAGTTTGTAAACCTCATATCAACACATCCAGTAACAGCTGATCCATATTGTCACACTTCTCAGCAGCATAAATGGAATGAAAAACAATGATACTAAAATAGATGACTGATTGAAGGTCAATGAAAATAATCAAAGCATCAAAGATGTCAGAAAGTGTATACATGCGTCCCATTGAGAAGGTGTTCTCTGAGGTTAAATTTCTTATCGTGAATGTTTGTTCACTAGTGTTGGTGTCTTTCCCAGTACTAATTTATAAGCAATCAACGTGAAATTCTGTATTCATATTTGTCTGTAGAATAACTGTAGGATAAATAAAAAAAGCGTGAGTAGACCAGTAAAAATCATATTTACTTCAGGATAAGGCGGCTTGAATATGCTTTGTACATGATTTGTCACCATCTACACCTATTATCCAATGTCAACTAAAGCAGAAGTATGCTGAGGGAGGGCTAAGAGTTGCCTAACCAAGATGTGGCATCAGCTCATAAAGTCTCTGACAACTCATCTATACCGAGTATGGAGGTAAAAGTTGTCTGACTAAGGGTTTTTCAGTCTGTAGAAATCAGTGGTTAGACACTGGATTTTGAGCTATGTCAGTAAGTGTCTAACCACTGATTTCTACAGACTGAAAAACCCTTAGTCAGACAACTTTTACCTCCATACTCGGTATAGATGAGTTGTCAGAGACTTTATGAGCTGATGCCACATCTTGGTTAGGCAACTCTTAGCCCTCCCTCAGCATACTTCTGCTTTAGTTGACATTGGATAATAGGTGTAGATGGTGACAAATCATGTACAAAGCATATTCAAGCCGCCTTATCCTGAAGTAAATATGATTTTTACTGGTCTACTCACGCTTTTTTTATTTATCCTACAGTTATTCTACAGACAAATATGAATACAGAATTTCACGTTGATTGCTTATAAATTAGTACTGGGAAAGACACCAACACTAGTGAACAAACATTCACGATAAGAAATTTAACCTCAGAGAACACCTTCTCAATGGGACGCATGTATACACTTTCTGACATCTTTGATGCTTTGATTATTTTCATTGACCTTCAATCAGTCATCTATTTTAGTATCATTGTTTTTCATTCCATTTATGCTGCTGAGAAGTGTGACAATATGGATCGGCTGACCATAAATCAAGGACTTATGTTGATAGATTATCTGAAAAAACATGACTGAAGTAGATACTTGTTTTCTATAGATTATTATCACGTTTTACAGCTACCTTTGCAAATTATTCCACTTAGATATTCGACAACATCATAGGAGTTCGATTGTCTGATGTACAGGTTGATGATTGAGGTAGTAATAATAATAACAGTAGAAACATCATGCAAAAGTTTACATTCCCACGGTATTCAATCATTAAGAAGATATGAGTAAACAGTGTAGGTGTGTATTGGGCTAAATAGGAACAAATTATTATCGCACAGCAATTGGATAGATGAATGCAAGTTGTTTCAGGCGCAGAAGACTATGAGTATTGCATCGAATTCTGCCTAAAATAAATTATTGAATGCGTCTAAAGGTTTATATCATCAAATGATTTACTTCCAAGGGGAATCCTGAACTCTGATTGTATTTAAGTTTCGTCGCCGCCACTCGTAGCTAAAATAAGAAGCTTATAAGCGTTAATACTAATTAATTTACTAGTGAAAACATTTGGTAATCTATCACCGATCTATAACTGAACAATGGATTTAGAAGAATACTTTGAAGAATCAACAGTTAAGAAAGTTTAAAGGTAGAGGACGTGAGCAAGCTTGTGATGTGTGTATGTGTGTGTGTGTGTCTTGGTGTCACCTCGTGAATAACGCAGAAATCAGACGTAGAGTTTTAGGCATGAGAAGTAAGATAGTTGATGCAGTTATGAACCTTCATCGACTGAGATGGCCTAGTCACCGTCTACCTTGTCACACAATTTAAGCTGAAGTAGGTTCAAGCTAGGAAAAGGCTCAAGGTGACCAGACTAAAACTTGACGTCATCGCATGAAGTCCTTCGTTGTTGGTATTGCACAAGGTTTGGAAGGAAGGAAGGAAGGAAAGGTACCTGCAGAATAGAAGAGGGATTACCTTGTCAAACTCCCAAAGAAGAGAGTCCTAAGTCTTTGTAAGAACTGGTGCAGGATCATCTCCGTGTCCCTGTCCACCTCAAATAAGCTAACTATTAGGCTGCATCATCCTGGAGCGACAAAAAGTGCTCTGCATTCAAAACAACGACCATAACAGGCTGGTCGGCTTCAGGAAGAACAAATCATGTGCGGGTCAAGTTGCAACGCAACACAACGCTAGGCATCATCATACAACAGAGCATAGAATCGCAGTCAACTCTCTACCTCAACTTCATCGACTTTGATAAAGCCTTCGATAGCGTCAACCGAGAAGTAATTTAGCTGGCAGCTGCTTCAACGCTTCGGTTTCAGTGCCACAAACCGTGATCAACCTCAGTCAGTAACTATATGCTATATGATGAGGCTACATTTCAAGTGATTGACAACACAATGAAAAGCTCAGTGATGCCTCTAGAGTGGAAGTGAAGACAGGAGTAAGACAAGGTTGTTACCTACTATCACCAATCATCCTACTGAGTGTGGTCGACTCCACTCGACTGAAATGGACTGGACTGGACTGAACTGAACTAGATCATGCAACAGACAACTGTGAGCATCTTGGAGAAGATGGACATACACTGGTTGGACCGATTAGAAGACCCTAGAATGTTTTGATTTCGCCTCCAATGATGATGATGATTTGTGTCTAATGTCTTGTGACACACACTTGAATGATGTACAGGCAAAACGAACAAGTTGACAGAATAGGCGAGGCGAGGTAGCGAAGGAAAACGAGACTTTCTCCAGATGAAGGTGAAGGTGAAGGTAGAGAAGACGGAGGTGGAGGTGATGAAGATATCCAACTAGCAGCATCAACCAGAAACACCAATCACCATCAACAGGAGAAATCTGAAGGAAGTTATCTCTTCACTCACCTACCTACCTGCCTACCTACCTACCTACCTACCTACCTGCCAACGTAGACAAGATAAGGCAGCATCGTTTCAACTACAGCGAGCAGCAGCGGCGCCACGGATGATGATATCAAAGCAGCCACGATCGGAAAGACAGCAAGACAGGCCTTCCTGCATTAATGTGAAATCAGTGTGGAGATCTATTACACTGCACTCCACTGCACTGCACTTCACTCAGCATAAAGCTTGAACAACATCCGGATTTGCAACACTGATGTCAGTCAAGTGAATCAGTGCTTCCATGTGATGGTTGAGAGACTTGGTGGCGCGTTGTGAAGAGCATTTCCAACAAACTGCACACATACATGAATAGATGCCGCCTACGCCTACTCGATAGTGACACTGACACGGACACTGAAGATCAGATGAGATGTCCAGGATAATAAGAGTTAGCAACAAGGTACTTTGGCCCAAGAAATATGGAGAAGAAAGTGGGGAAGTTTTGAATTAGACATACACACTGGAGGCCAGGCCGTCGAGTGGAGGTCAAATGGGTAGGGAGGAGTTGGGCGTCCGTTGGTGATGACATAGATGAGATTGTGTGAGAAAGAAATGGAAGCTTGTGGGGAGTGGTGGAGCGAGGTTAAGAAGACTACAGAGAAGAGAGGGAAATGTCGACGGGTTACTGAGTCGGTATGTTCTGGTAGGAACTCAAGTGAACTCACTTATCGCTTCTACTGATGATAAAGCACCAACTCTCTGTTAGACTATGCCATTTTCTATACATCTGAAATACATACCCACTACTCATAATAGACATTCAGTGGAATGATTACAGTTGTTTACTCTTTTCTTTTGGATTAAAATAATTTTTTTTCTTTTCCAATACAATTTGGCCTCACTTTAATTTACTCAGCTTTTTTTCATCATATACATGCATATGTTTTTTGAAAGTTATGTACACACAGTGATCATCATTATAAAGAGAAATATAATATGATTGTCGACTGTTATTTATAACACTGAAATATCACATCTGAATTAATTTTAACACTGTGAAGAATTTTGTTTTTTCCAAATTGAATATTGAACAAAGATTAGTAAGTTGTTTATATACACAGTTGTTTATAACAATCATCTATCTATCTTATGTATAATAGTATAAGAAATTATTTTTATAATTATGATTTAAAAATGACCATGGTCAATACACCAAACAATCAATTGATTAATGGATCAATAAATGAGCTAATTAAATGATTAATTATGAATAAATGAAGGGTGTGAGGTTATAAAAAAGGTTATTTAAACACTGATTACAAAAGTACACGACTTTGACTTTTTTTTATAGACAGATGTAAAAAGACTGACTATCTGAGTAGATTTAGGCTGGTAAAAATTAGTCGTAGAAATAATTTTTCCTGTCATATTTAGCAGATATGAGTTACACACACACAATAGCGAGACAGTAAGAAGACACTAATGCCACTGAGGATGATATTACTTCTAAAGAATAAAAGTATCCATATGTCTCATCAATTCAGTAAGGAGACATCGATAGGAGGGAATATTGATATTGACAATGAAAATAAAGAATTATCATTTGACTATTTGAGATAACCGTGGTTTGGCAGACTAGTATTTATACTCGGTGATGATTGAAGGTGAAATGAAAATTTGGACGGCGGCCGGATTTGAACCAGCGACCACCGGGTTGGTGGCCTGGTGATACAGCTGAGTGGTAGAACTGTTGACTATAGGCCGAGAGGCCTGGAGTCAAAACCCGAGTGCCCCGTCACTCTTCAACCCACACAAACACACATGACCAGCTGACACATTACATACCTTAAAAATAATGGACCTCGTAGCCCAGTTGTTAGAACACAGGGCTCGTAACCCGGTGGTCATTGGTTCGAATCTGGCCGCCGTCCAAATTTCTGTTTCATCTTCAATCACCACGCAGTAGAAAATAAAGAAACCTGAGCAGAATATTTTCAGTCCCTTTACTTAGGACACATATTGCCCCACACTTCAAGAGGGAAGATGTTTTCATCAAATTGATGGTGTTGCTATGGGAAGCCCTATGGGCCCCCATTTCCTAAATATTTATATGTCGTATGTTGTAAAGTTTTCTGAGGATTTCATTGAAAAAGATCCATTTTATAAAAGATACGGGGATGATACCTGAATCATAACTGATGATCTATGTTGTACTAGTTTAGTTCTAAATCAAATGAATAAAGTACAAAATATAGAGGGATCAATAAAACGATCAGTTTACAGAAAACCAACTTGAACAAGTTAGGATTTAAATTGATGCTAGGAATAACTTAACAATCAGACAGACACAACGCTGTCATCAACAAAACATGAAGCTAAGATTTGGAGAAATGAAACTTCAAAGCCTATACACCCATCGAATCCCTTGGAACATAGGAAAGATGAAATCACATCACATTATGCGTAACAATTTCAATATGACTGACTGGCAAAATGAACATAGAATCTCTCACACAAGTGCATCGGCTCAAGTTGCTACACTTCACAGAAGTACACAATGAATATGTGGATAAAAAAGGAGTGATATCAGAGTAGATAAAGTAGTGAGAGAATATACATCTTCCTGCACAAGTCAAGCCGAGAGCCAGAGATTTCATCAACTGGTGAGACATCTTGATCTGGCCACCCTGAACTATTTTCCAACCTAATCCAACTTCCTCTACCGTGACACGTCGAGGTAAGCGGTGTATCAGCATGCGCAGTATATGTCCAAGTCATCTCAGTCGACTAAGGTCCACAATCTTCTCGATCAGCTTCGCTATCTAGCCTAGTACCTTTCGCCTGACGTCAACATTGCTCATACAGGAATTCCAAGACACGCTAGCAATGTTGCGAAGACATCTATGATCAAAGGCCTGCAACTGCTTCGTTCTGTCTACTTTTAATAGTTGCGTCTCACAGGCGTATAACAAAACAGAACAGACTGCAGCGTAGCATACTCGTCCTTTGATAGATAGCCAGATATCTCGCCGCCACCACAGGCGACGTAATTGTGGTCGAGTATACATAGGGTGGAATCAGAGATCATTGGAAATAAAAGCCACGAAACACATTCCAAAGTGACTTCACAAACAAATAGACTTGCCTGATTCAACTGATGCTGGAAACAAACATCCTTACTCCTCAATAGTTAAATATATATTATTAAAACAGTGCCTAAAATGGATTCACAAACGTCATTACGCAACTCAGACAAACTACGCTTTCTTATTATTTTACTAAAGTATCTAAACGGAGACACAGAGTTGAGCATATGAGATAAGGATGTATCTTCAATACAGAATTAGGTTTTGGCGTGCGTCGTATCGCCTAAGCTTTCCCGTGACCAAGTTCAACTGTTCCCTAAATTCCAAACCATACAGTTTACAGCGGTTCATGCTGCCCAGAAGAACATTCAAGGAATTTTCCGTTGCTACACCGTTAGTAGATGGATCCCTATGCTACTAGTGGATAACGCTCTGGCGTTTCAAGCAATGGCCGCTGGGTTGGAGCCTCAGTAAAACATCACTAACTCGGGCGCAGGTACAGCCAGCTGATGGGTCTCAAATAGGATGAAATGCAAGTCTGAGATTCCACTGCGAGTTGCCAAGATGGATAAAACATCCTGAGTATCCAGAAATATCAAGTTATCGGCATAGGAGCTCATCTACCAACAAGGTAGGACAATTCAACATAGTATAGCAATAGGATATTATAAGTGTCAAACGATTCTTCACCTCAGTTTCTATAACACATTTTTTTGTGGATGAAGAGGGTTCTTTCTCATCTTAGCTTATCCTCCTTCAAACTCTAGAAGTTTTTGAAGTCAAATAGGTATCTGTTTCCCAACCCTTAACTGCATAACTAGATTAATCCTCTCAATGTGTTTTTGTATATGAACATACATATATGATAACTGTTGAAGACAGTGTGATGTGTATGACGTAATCATTTATACAGTGCTGAAATTTGTGATAAGCTTAGTTGAATGAAAGACTTTGGCATCCATCTCAAAAGAGTGCTATTCGACTCCCCACTGTCTGATAGACTGATATAGACGCTTTTCATTTCAACCTCCTGGATTCTAAACACTTCCCACACTCATTTCATACCAATGGTAAGAAACTTTATGAAATAGTTACATGCATAGTCTAGTCGTCTCTGGCTTGCTTTCAAACAGTAGAGCGTATCTCAAAGTCGACAGTGGATTTGATTGCATACCACATATTACAACGTATGCGTTGACAACGATTCATGACTTCACCAACCGATTTATCTCACCAGTTGTCGACCCCGAAAATTTGCATTGTTCACATTGTGTTTCTAAAGTTCAGTGATGACGAAAAAAATCAGAATAGGGTCAAATATCTGATAAGGACATCAAAGCCATAATCGGGAAAAAAAGATAGGCCTTCCTGCATTAATCTGAAATCAGTGTGGAGATCTACCGCAGTCAAGTGAGTCAGTGCTTCCATGTAATGGTTGAGAGACTTGGCCGCGAGTTACAAAGAGCATTTTCAACAAACTGCACACATACATCAACAGCTATCGCCTACGCTTACTCGATACTGATACTGAAGATCAGATGACCAGAATAATAAGAATAAGTAACTCACTCTGACCTGCCAACGAACCAGCCAACAAGCTGTCGCCCAACAGGTATGCAGAAGAAGAAAGCGGAGATGGATTGGAGTGGACTGGACATACACTGAGAAGACCATTTGGTGACATCACGCATCAGGCCCGGCCCTCGAGTGGAACCTGCATGGCAAACGACGAGTTGACACCCAAGACAAGGGTGACATGGATGAGATAGTGTGAGGAAGAAATGAAAGCTTGTGGACAGTCGTGGAGTTAGGTTGAAAAGACGGCAGAGAAAACAGTGAAATGTCGACGTGCTATTTAAGCCATGTTTCACTAGGGAACCCAAGGGACAAATAATAATGATGATAATAAAAATCTAAAATCTTTGTATACTTTACATCTATAGCGACTATGTTTCACGGCTACGTAGTAGATCAGAGTACACTATCGAGCGGTCAACTTGTCTCTTAGTAGGGATTCAAGTATTCCACCAGTGTTACATGGAGTGTAAGTTGGTAAAACCCAATATATCTAGTCAACAGAGGACTAAAAATTGTAGTGTTCGATTTTCGACAAGAAGTATTCTAATGATGAGGCGTGAATCGATGTTAAACGGACAAAAAGATAAGGAAAGATAAGTGAACGGCTGACTTACCGGTTACAGTTAAACAAACTGGTGTTTTGTTGCTATTCGGTGTGGCTTTTATCTCTGACTCAGCTCGAGGTCGAATGCCAAGTTGACGATCATCTTGAAATGTGATTGTTTGATAGTCAGGCGCTTTAACTGGAGCATCTAATATCAACACACCATCCTGTTAGTCATGAGATTTTTAAAGATAACAAAAACATCAATTAGGAAAGGAATTTTAGAACTTAGTACCCTTAAAAATAGAGTGCACACTAAAAACAAACTACTATCTCTTCTCAAACATTTTCATGACTGGGACAGTGAATATTTCACTTCAAACACTCTGAGGTTTATGTAAATATGAATTACCACTATTTGGTTATTTATTCAACCCTAAAATATCGTTGCTTATTTTCCAAGACCTCTTCTGCTGGACAAGCTACACGAGACAAGTACTGAGTCCTGGATAATCAGCTGACTGTATTCCTGTTTCTCTCACAGAGGGAAGTGCTCCTTAAGGAGCCATCCCTCCGTCAAGTCTTTTCTCTTTCTTTCTGCATGACCAACCATCTTCAGCTAATATCAATTACATTAAATGTGCTAATGATTTAACTGTTTCCATACCTGTCTTCCCTTCAGCAGACTGCTTCCAACTGAATGATGCCCTATTTACTGTTAGACGATGATCCTCTGTGAATGGTTTTGTGCTTAATTCCTCACAAGTCAGATCATGAACTTCAGTTTTGGACGCCAACATAACTTATATAAACTGCTTAGTTATCATGATTCCTGTTCTGTTGACAGTTGTCCATTAGGGAATGTTACAAGTGTGACTTATCTCAACGTGTCTTTTTCTTCACACATTTCCTCGTCTTCTCATATTTCACTAATTTCCAAAAGAAATTTCCTGCTTCACTTTCTATATTAGGAAGCTGAGAGTATCTGGTTCAACTCAGTCTCTCATCTTGTGTTTTATAAACTCCTGCATCTTGTCTGTTCTCCTCTATTACTCCCCTTTATTCTTTCCTGGGTTGGTGAAAAAGGACTATGGTATATTGTGTAGAGCTTTGAAGATTGTCAGTAGAACTAGTGATGTACCCATAAGCCTTCTAGTTGAAGCAGTTGCAGACAAACATTCTAACTCATATAGACATCTGGTAGGAGTTATTTTATCCTCTTCACTCGAAGCTATCTGCGTGTTGGTCATCTGGAAAGACAAGGAGCAAGTATATAAGACTGTATGCACGTACTTCAAAGTATAAAACCTCTACAATACCTTATTTAGCTCGCCGCAAGTGCGATGAAGAAAGTATTAGGAATGAACTAACCAATCGTCTTCCATCTAGAGGTTTCTGGAGGCTTACTAATTGATCGTAGGTTGGAATTCATCATGGAATGGGGTCATTTGAAGGAACATAGGAAATCTGACAGCACTGGACATCAACTTCGTCCTAGTATGGGACTCCTCAGCAGTGTGCACCCATTATTCCGACCCACCACAGGTCGAACCCATGACCTTCAGGTTCCGTGACCAATATTCCTCCAACTAACATCAGACCATGGTGAATCCAAACCTAAAATCAATCAATAAACCTCCGCAAACCTCCAGATAGAATTAATCTAGCGCTCATCGGTGAATAGTTTCGAGAGGTGATTGCATAAGTTCCAGTGAGAAGTCCTAACCTGTGGAGTTAACCAAATTGAACATGAAAACAGTTACTCAACGATGACACTGGATGTGGGCCGTACTATATCGTGAAGTGACACAAGTAGGAAATATGATCCGTTGGATTCTGATCCAGTGGTTCAATGATAACGTGTTGACTACAGAACCTGAATGTTCTGGGTTCGATATGTGGTGGCGCGGGGTCATGAGTGCATACTACTGAAAAAGCCCCGTACTAAAACGAAGTGGCTTCTCGGTGCTCCCTCTGGGTGTCGAATGTTCCTCCAACTAATATCAGTCCATGATGAATTACAACCTGTAATGCACTTCTGTTTTCTAAAGGAAAATAATTATTGAACATATAGCTTGTTATTGTTTATGTATTATGAATGTAAAACCACTATTATTGTCAATTCAAAATGTTAAAGGTGAATGCATTTCCAAAGTGGAGTGAGATTATAAAACTTTCAGTAAATGAATTTCTCTTTCTTTTTAATTTGTTAATATTAGGTTGACGGATGAATCATGTAATGGTAAACAAGAAGACAAGTGTGGTGTTTTGTTTACTGAAGGCCTCCCTTCACAGAAGTGAACAGTTTAGGTTTGATCAACCTTTTTTGGCGACAATCTCTGTTATGTTAGGCAAGTGTTGGCAAGCTACATATGGTATTGTTTTTGGAATACAATGAAGTCTCGTGTCGACCAGATGCTCTAAAATAGTACTTTTCACCACTTTCACTTCACTCTTTCCAAACTAAGCTGGTAAACACTCTCGTATTCGAAGATACACCTGCCTAATCGTATGCCCTATGTTACTTATTCCACAGGAACAGTTAAACTGATGCATGAAAGATGAATAGCTAAGATTAGGTAGGCTATCCTTTGATCTTGAACTAAGGATTGGTTGACTACTGAAAGATATGCAAACATAACACAATAAAAAGTCAGTGAAAACAATATTCTTTGTACAACATCGATCAGTACTTTTTTTAAAATACACGAAAAATATAAAGTAAAGTAGCTTGTATTCAGGGTGTATTCACTTATTTATCATTAAAGAATTTAATATGCCTAAGATTATCCCAATAACCTCTCCTGGTTAACTAGTTCACTAGTTACTAGCCGGCTCTAAGCCCCGATAAAGAGGGAAGGTTGGGCATAGGGATAGCAACCTTACCCTGCAAAACTAATCCAGTCGATAAATAAACTTCAGTGTACATAGAAATTATAAAAAATGAAAACAAACTTATTCCTCTCTGGAATCAAAGGTCTGTAGGCGCAAACTGGCGGGTTGGCAGAACAAGTAGCAAATACTGGACTTCAAGTGAATGTAGAGAAGACAGAGGTAGAGGTGATGAAGATATCCAACCAACAACAGCATCAACAACAACAAGCTCCAATCACCATCAACGAAAGAAACCTAAAGGAAGTAGTCTCTTTCACCTACCCAGAAAATATCGTTTCAACAACAGGCGGCGGTGGCACAGACGAAGATGTCAAAGCAGCCAGAATCGGAAAGACAGCAAGACAGGCCTTTATTAATTTGAAATCAGTGTGGAGATCTACTACACTCAGCACAAAGCGTCAACAAGATGAGGATTCTCAACATCAATGTAAAGTTAGTGCTTCTGTATGGCTCAGAAACTTGGCGTGTCACGAAAAGCACTTCTAACAAACTGCAGAAATTCATCAACAGCTGCAGCTTACGCCCACTCGATACTGAAGATCAGATAGTCACAAAAAAAGGAGTAACAAGAAACTCTGGAAACGAACCAACCAAGAACCTATTGCTCAACAAATATGCAGAAGAAAGTGGAGATGGATCGGACTGCACATACACTGAGAAGGCCGACTGGGGACATCACGCACCAGGCCGTCGAGTGGAATCCAAATGGGAAACGACGAGTTGGGCTTCCGAGCTGAAGGTGACATGGAGGCGATCATGTGAAGAAGAAATGAAAGCTTGTGGGCAGTCGTGGAGCGAGGTTGAAAAATTGCGGAGAAGAGAGTGGAATGGAGGCGTGCTACTGAAGCCCTACGTTCCACTAGGAACAGAAGGGAAAATAAATAATAATAAGATTATCCCAATAATATATCAATAATGACGAGAACACTGAATTCTCCGATAAATCAGTAGTGCTCTACAGACACTAGTGAATAGAGAGAAAGAGAGAGCATCAGAGTAATTGTTTTGAGCGATAGTAAAAATGGCTGAAAAGAAAGTCTGTTCAAATAAGTGAGAGTAGAAACGCGTACAAACAAGAAAGTCTAAAAAAGTTGGATAATGAAACATTTGATGGACTACAGGTATGATACTGATACCTATAAGTCTCTCATGATCATCAGTAGACATTAGAATAAGATGCGTGTAATTACAGAAGCTTGTGTGATTTTAGTTGTCAAATGCTCCTTGTCTTCAGTTACTACTCCTACCCCATACTTCTGGCTTTTACTTTCGGGATTTGTTTTGTTTAGTTAATCTACCCTCAACTGATTCAGTTTTCGCTCCCAATATCATGATTACTATTAGCAGAAATTCCTGTTTAAACTAGGTTTCTTGCTTTTAGCTGTCCTCAGCAGGGCGTATCTGCAACCTCGAGGGAAATGACTCCCCCAAACCCATGTCAACCAATCTTGTAGTCAAGGGTGTCACTGGTGAGCCATCCAATCTATGATTCACCTCCTGCAGGAGTGGATTTTGTACAGTTATTAGTCACTAGAGGGTAACCAACTCTATGTTCTCTAATCCTGAGGGCTGACCAATTTCTATCGACCACTTTCAATATGGCTGCCAAATTAGGAGGGTTATCACCACGGTGTACCAGCCATTGAACGACAGTAAGTTATAGGGGTTTTAAATTCAGTAAGTCTAATAGTTATGATAGCCAAGCAACACAACAAACGGCGGCTGTTTGTTCTTTAGTAGAGTCTTACTGGCTGGTATCAATTATGAAAGCCGACAGAAAAGGATTGGTAACACTATGAAAACTTCATTTATAAAATCAAACTGAGAAACAGGCTTGAGGAGACCCTATAGCATAAAACTGCGGCCAATTCGAATAACTTCTCATAAATGTTTATAAGTGACTCCATTATACACTCCCAGTCAAATCCTCCTTCGATCTATAACGTACTGCGTTACAGACCATAGAGCTGCAATCTTACATCGTATTGTGGAGATTTACTGACCGCTTTATGAATTCCACGTCATCTTTGATTGACTATTTTTATCTGAAGACTCGATCATAGGTATCTCATCTTGATTGCTAGTTGAAGGCAGAAACGTATGGAAACCTCAGTCTTTTGAGTGGGGTACTCAAGGTGATCATCATTCGATCATATAAGTAAGACGAGTAACAAACTCATTCTCTCCATCCAACGTAAACATCACAACAGTAGTTCTATTCACACAAGTTATGGTTAAAACCCTAACATGGAGTTGTTCAGCATGCTACTTAGCGTAGATGTTACTGCCTGGTTGACTGAAAACGTCTAAAAGAATATTATCTGAACAATGAAATACTGAAATATACTGGTAGTTAAATTTTTAGATTCCTGAGTTCATCTTCGACATCTTTGATCGATGTATACTGAGATCATTATAGGAGGGTCTGAGATGACATTTCACCTCATTGATTCACATTCAAATGATATCAACTTCATTTGGGATTTCCTGTTATACTAACTAATGACTAAATGAGTGTTGTATTCAGTCAGTAGAATGTTTCGTACTTGTAAGCATTCATCAACTGGCATTTCATCGATGCCTCGAAGTCATTTAACTCAGTTATGGGGTGAGATGCTCAACCGCTAAGTTAATAAGATCACGAAAGACGGCTGAAAAGCTGAATCAAGTACACGAATTGATCACTAGAAGGTCGTTTATGTAGCTGTCTAGTACTGATTGAAGTCAAGCGATCAATTTTTTCAATATGCCCAGAAAGTGAAATGATGTAACACTCCTATCTACTGTAATTTGGCAAAAAGAAGATGTTACTAACATTATTATTAATCACTAGTATAAAACCATTTAACTGATAATGTATTCAGTAAGAAAACGAAGATGCGACGAGCGAAGGAAATTCCCATTTCGATGATTCCATCTACAGAAGCTGTAAAAATTGTATGCAAAATAACTGGAAATAAATAACACTCAACGGACAGGTTGATACGGACACGATACGGATAAGTTTCCATAGATAGAAGAAAGTGACTACTTTAGCTGAGAATTAGCAGACTGATACTTGTGACATAAAGTGATAAGTGAAGCTGAAACATAAACTTTTATAAGGGAAGGGATTCGAACAGCCATCTCTAAACTGCAGACTCGATGTTCAACTATGTGCGTTGTCAGACTCAACCACTAGTTTAAATCATATAGTAACTAAGGTTTTCACTTCATTCTTGGTCACCAATGATGACTACAATTTCACAGCTCCGTCTTGTAAGTCAGTTGCTAGACGACAGAGCCGGAAACTCGAAGGTCGTTGTTTTGAATCCAATCACGGCTCTTCACCTTCACTCCATACCTAGTATCAAACATCAATACGTCTTTCGGTTATATTATTATTATCATTTATTATTTGTCCCTTGGGTTACTAGTGGAACATATGGTTTCAGTAGCACATCACCATTTCGCACCATTCTCTGCAGTCTTCTTAACCTAGCTCCATCACTACCCACAAGCTTTCATTTATTCTTCACACCATCTCCTCCATATCACCCAGCTTGTCGTTTCCTATTCGGCTTCCACTCGACGGCCTGGTCTCGCTCGAATATGTGTCTAAACCAGTCCATCTCCACTTTCTTCTGCATATTTATTGAGCGATAGGTTCGTTTGGTTCGATTAGTTCGTTACCAACCAGAGTTCCTTGTTGCTAACTCTTATTATTCTGGTCATCTGATCTTCAGTATAGAGTAAGCGTAGGCGGCAGCTGTTGATGATGTATGTGTGTAGTTTGTTAAAAATGCGTTTTGTAATGCGCTGCCAAGTCTCTCGACCATTACATGGAAGCACTGACTCACTTGACTGACATCAGTGTTGAAAATACCAGTCTTGTTATCTTTAGTTGGGTATCCTCATCACCTCCACCTCTATCTTCTATACGCACACCACCTGAAGGAAGTCCCGTCTTCCTTCGCTACCTTGCCTCACCTCTTCTGCCAACTTGTTAGTTTTCGCCTATACATCTTCTAGTGTACGCGACAAGACATTAGACATAAATCATCATTGGAGGCGAGATCCAAATATTCTAGGGTCTTCTAATAGATCCAACCAGTATATGCCCATCTTCTCCAAGATGCTCACAGTTGTCTATTGCATGATCCAGTCCACCACAGTCAGGAAGATGATTGGTGATAGTAGGCAGCTGTCTCATCTTACCCCTGTTTTCACTTCCACTCCAAAGGCATCACTGAGCTTTCCATTGTGTTGTCAAACACTTGAAATGTAGCCTCATCATATAGCATATAGTTATTGACTGAGGCTGATCAAGGTTTGTGGCACTGAAACTGTAGTGTTGAAGCAGTTGCCAAATTACTTCTCGGTCGTCGCTATCGAAGGCCCCTTACGAAATCGATGATGTTGAGGTGAGGAGATGATTACCATTCTATGCTGTGTTGTAGGTTATATTGTATGATTAGTTGTAATGCCGCAAATAATTCTGGTTATTCGCGATTATCCCCATAAACCTTTGTGTAAACATAATCTGTGGAAAGTACATCACTAAAGTATGTCAACTTTGCTATGGACACTGCTGCATTGCTTAAGCTTATGGATGACCTTCAACTTTGCAGTCATTCATCATATTCTAGTTGCAAAACAACTTATAATAAACATTTTTCGGTAAATAATAAAAGTTACTCTTTGATGTCGTTAATTCTAGTTCAGAAGAGACATAAAACACGAGACTGACTTCAGGTAAACTTAGAAAAGACAGAGGTGATGAGGATACCTAACCAACAACAACAACAAACACCAATCACCATCAACGGGATAAACCTAAAGGAAGTAGCCTCTTTCACCTATCTAGGCAGCATCGTTTCAACTACAAATGCAGGCACAGATAAGGATGTCAAAACCAGGATCGGAAAGACAGTAAGACTGGCCTTCAGTAACCTGAAATCAGTGTAGAGCTCTTCTGCAATCAGCATAAAGAACAAAATTGGTATTTTCAACACTGATGTCAGTCAAGTGAGTCAGTGCTTCCATGTAATGGTCGAGAGACTTGGCAGCGCATTACAAAACGCATTTTTAACAAACTACACACATACATCATCAACAGCTGCCGCCTACGCTTACTCTATACTGAAGATCAGATGACCAGAATAATAAGAGTTAGCAACAAGGAACTCTGGTTGGTAACGAACTAATCGAACCAAACGAACCTATCGCTCAATAAATATGCAGAAGAAAGTGGAGATGGACTGGTTTAGACACATATTCGAGCGAGACCAGGCCGTCGAGTGGAAGCCGAATAGGAAACGACAAGCTGGGTGATATGGAGGAGATGGTGTGAAGAATAAATGAAAGCTTGTGGGTAGTGATGGAGCTAGGTTAAGAAGACTGCAGAGAACGGTGTGAAATGGTGGTGTGCTACTGAAACCATATGTTCCACTAGTAACCCAAGGGACAAACAATAATCCTAAAATAATTCTAGTTAGCTTTTAATGATAAATACCTTAATGCAGACGTTAAGCTGATTGACTAGACAACATGGTGCACTTTATTCGACAACGAATAACTGAATGTCCATTCTTTCAACTATAAGATTGTAGGTAAAAGCATGAACAACAGGATGTGAAGAGATCAATGGTTTTTTGATCGTAGTTATGTTTATTGCATTGGTCACGTTCGGTGGAATCCTCATGTTGGCAATGTTCAGGTTAAATGGGGGGTACTCAGGAAAGAATGAAAATCCTTCGATGAATCTGTGAACCGTAAGTGACTTGAAAATATGTTCTTCACGCCGATCCACCGCCTATCTCGACATGCCGTGCTAGGACAAGTTGGATTGGGTTGAAAGAAGCTTTATGACAGCCACATCAAGACGTGGTACTAGTTCATATAGTCTCTTGTCGTTAGTCTGATTCGTGTTGGGAGGTGTAGACTACTTCATACAGGTCTCTGGGTCTGCTGAAATCAATTGTTGAAGACTCACGGTGATGTGGCTGAAAATCGGTCACAATGGTGTAGATGTATTTTACTTTTTGACATTTTCTAAAGCTTGCATTCCCTCTCCTTCTATACACCATCTGCTTTGATCCCAATGTTTTTCGATCCCATTTCCTTATTGTATATTAAGGTGAAGTGTGGCAATTTTGCACCAATCTACAAGTATGCGAAGTTCTTCATTGATTGTATCTATCTGACATAATACGGAGATAGGTGTCTAGTTGGAATATTTTGTTTTTATCTGGAACAAAGTTATTATTGTATTCCTGTTTATATAACCCAGATAACAAAAAAAGAACTGTGTTTCATTTCTTGATCTAATGAAGTTTTGTTTACATGAGTATATACTAGACCGGCAGCCAATGAGGTGTAAAATTGAATCTACCTTGATTTTCTGCACCCTTGACAGTGTCCTCGTAGTCCACTACTGAGTTGAAATGTAGAAGTACGCAAACTAGATACATCACCCATGAACAAAGTACTTTGAACTATTTTTTTTGTTTACTAAAACAAACTTCATATTACAGGCGTAACCTCAACTAGAAACTGATTTCAAAAATCTGTACTCAGTCAAAAGATTGCATTCCTTTTCAGTTTTAACTAATATGAAACAAATAGTTGATGTGAATCGGATTTATACAGACTGTGGAACAATACTACTCTTATGAAAGAGCAATAAAAACCCAGTATCCAGCTGATGAGTCACAAATAGGACGAAACGCGTATACTGGATTCGACATTACACTTATTTAGAAACAGTATCAGAATAATCTTACCTCTGTAAGATGACATTGAAAGTGTTCATGATCAATTGATCTTGGTAGGTCAACAGATCGACGAAATTCACGTACAGTCGTTGAATTGCCTGATTTTATCGATTTTTTAGCATGAACGCGTAGATGATTATCAACTGTAGTCACTTCAATATCCTCTGGAGCAAAATCTTTTGCATCGAATCGTACTTTAAAGTGTACCTTAGTGAAGAAAATAAAAAATAAGGAGATAAATTCAAGGATTACCGCCCAGCTCTCGTTAATGACTAACTTTAATGGTTCTATAGCTGAAGTCAGTCCATGATGATTATCAACTTGAAATCAAGGAATAAAAAAATATAATTTGTGGTAAATTTTCATCATATATCGTGGGGTGACTATGAAAGAGTCACTATTCACCCAAAATGAATGATTTTTCTAGTCTAAAGTTTCCCAACAATGTGCTGCATTTTCACCAGTGATTTTGGAAAATATCCCTAATTACTTACCTAACTAGTTAAATTGTATAGATTTGTCATTGACAAGATGAACAAATCAGCTGCTTAAATAAAGAAGCGTGTTGAGGAGTTCAGGTCAATAATAACGTGAATTATCGACTTCCTTTTACACTGATCTACTTTTCTTTCATTCATAGTGAATTGGTTGAACATATTTTTCAGTCAGAACAGACATCAATCCAACAGGGTCATTAATATCACAGTCGAGCTTCCAACCAAGCGATTAAGTTGGTTCCAACCTGTTATGAGCCTGCCAGTAGGGATTGAGAGGGATTCTTAACCAACCAGGTGGTTATTCAACAACCTCTAGTTCCCAGATTTGCTATAAAATCTTATTATCTCATCTTCGCATAGCAAACAAGTCAAGTATCAACTTTCATCAGCAACCTTGTCCACATTCGTGCGGTAGGCAGTGAGCTACACTTATTCTGTGAGTTCTAATGTTACTACTTAAATGCCCAAACGTCAGTAAGTGGAGCAAGGTTCGGACAAGTGACCCACTGGTTGAAAGTCAAGTCCCTAAGTCAATGATCCACAGCTCCACAAAATAACAAGTCGCTAACAAAGATCAATACTGCCTACAAATATTTTTCTTTGTCAAATTATTCAACTGTTTGAAAATCTTCTAGTTATCACCTGATCACCTTTAAGTATGCAAAGTAGGTGAGTAGATTAAAGCTACAATTTAAGAAAAGTGCTTTAAAAAATGACAAGGTCATTGAATGGCGTTGAATCCATTGAAAATAATTAGCATAAAAAGGTTTATGATATACAAGGTCACTAATGTTTAGATTATTCGAATGACATTAAAGTACATAACCCTGATAACCGTGATAACCGTTTTATATTCAAATTAAAACAAAATTATTGATATCATTATTTGCATAAATAAGATAAAAAAAACCTATAGAATAAAATGAATCCAAGTTGAATAAGGTCAAGATATACCAAAAGGGTTTCATTCACCATGATAAAAAGTGGATGAAACACTGAAGATAACTTGGAAATCTTGTTTGTATTATGTTCTCTAAACTGAAGATTGTTTAATCGTGTAGCTTTCATTGTTGTTCTAGACTACATCATCAGCTACAAATATTCTCTACCATTTCAAAATTAAACTTGGAAATCATTGTCAGTAGGTGAAACTGATAGGAAGCATTAGTCTGGCCACAAGTATTGTAAGAAACGAAAAGACTGAAACGTAAGACAGAATTCTTATTATTGACATCCTGTACAGTAGTGATGATATATTGTACACTTTCTATTGAAATAGTCATTTGTACAATGTGTTTCATTTCCTCTCCTACTTTAATCTCGACTTGCTTCTGATATGCTTAGATTGTCTTTTACGTTCTTCTGAGTAGAATAATTACCCATTCCTGCTGATTGCCTACGATTTCTGCCTGCCTCTCAACATATACTACTTATATCCATTCTTATCAGTAGCACCCACTACAGTATGACAACAACACACAACTAGTATTTTAAAAACTAAGATACACGATTTGACTGCGGACTAACTCTTTATTTTATCTCAGTTACGGAGTTTTTAATGAATCACAGACAGATTTCATCATATAAGCTTCAAGAAGTATACATTAGGCACATTTAGCACAATTCACTGCTTAGATTTCATTCCCTGTTGTACAATGATGAAAGATATAAAAAAATTTCAGGCGCTTAATGAATACATCATACATTCGTTATTTGCTTCCTAGTCACGAAAAAAATAGCCTATCCCATAGCAGAGAGAAGTTTGCACTAAAAGACAGCACCTATAGTTGTTACTGTTTGAGATACAATTGAATGACTAGAACAACGAAAATCAAACTGATATACTAGGTGGTCAAAGACAGTCGATGGAAGTTTTGATTAGCTTAGGTTTTATGGTCGTTGCTACTCATCAACAAGGCATAACTACATTCTCGACGAAACTGATGTCCTGTCTGAGATTCGAACCTGCATCACTCAGTGTTGTAGTCAGTGCTGTCAAGACCTGTATGTTGCCCGAAGTCTATTGATTATTTTGGAAATTTTACTATCAAGCTGAGAAGTTGAATATCGCGATGCATTTTGATGGATGTTAGTTAGTTGGAGGTAATCGACAGAAGGCGTTGAACTGTATTTTTCAAGACAGTGCACAGGTAAGAGGAAAGCATTGACAAGTTTTAATGATACTTGTAATTTTCCGTTGCTATACAGAGCCGAAATGCTTAACCTCTGTTGGCAGACAGGCTTCTATTCGGATGCCTTGATACTGTCGAATATTCATGATGTTATATTAATCTTGGTGACTAGCAGAGGAATCCTAGACACACGTTCCCCATTGGCTTAGTAGATAGCGCGAAGAGTACTGGGTTCCAGCCTCCATGGGGACACCATCATTCACTCGGATGCAGGTACATCCAGCTGACGAGTCCCAAATAGGACGAACCGTGCGTCCTGGATTCCTCTCCTAGTCACCAAGATCAATATAACATTAACAAGTGATTATTTTGTTCAAGATCTCTACACTGTCAGATTTTGAGCTACACAGGACGCTGAGATCCCCAAACGCTGATCCTTTAGATTTTATGGATACGGATAAAGCAGGTTATGAAAGTCAACTGAAAAATCAATGACGTCATGAGTTTATGCGAAGCTTTGGTATAACCAATCTTTTTCCAGATGAATTCTGCTTCAGCTAACTAAGTACATTGGAGTAAGCATAAATTCAAAGTCACCTCAATCGAAACTTCATAACCTCATCAACTGATTCGTTTTACTTACTAAGATCTCTGCAACTAACCATAAAAATACTCACCTCATACTACAAAGTTGATTGTGATAGAACACGTGCTTTTCATGGAAATACCTCAAAGTCGAACAGTAGGACAAAGTTGACTCTTGTTACATCTTGAAATCGAAATCCACTCAGTAACCTTTAACACATTCGTACAGTAGGCCTTGGTAGGTAGAGTGGTGTTCAAAGCAGCGACCTGTGCGGTCTACTCAACATTTTCATATGCAATAATAGAATGTCTCACGACTACTATACATAACATAGACTTTCAGATTTCAGATATGCCTTTTTATATATGCCAAAGCAGTGTGGTTGACTAGTGTCTATTATAGTGAACGTACCTTGTAAATCAGTGCAAGCCAGTACTTTGAACCCATCCTATATGGTATAGATGTTAAACACATGCTTAACCTGCACGAATGTTTATGCGAAGCAATGAGAAAACCTAATAACTTGTCAATGTCTCCAACGGAAAGATTTATATCTTTTGCCTATTATTCTCAGGTGAATTTAAAGACCATCGTAGCAACTGCTGAGATAACCAATTACTTTTCTTTATTTTATGATATACTATCCTCCTTAACCAAAACACTGACACCTGATTCGCTATCTTAGCACTTGTTAGGATGACCTTGAAATTCGCTTATTATTTTTGGCCAAATAGAGGCTTTCCACATAGAACATCAATCTAAGTGAATTACCACCTCCATGAATATATCATTATTGTTTTTGTAAAATATTTATCTGTTCATTATCGTACAAATAACTGTTTGCACGCAACTCTGAACAATGGGTAAATGAATGTTGCCAGAAGTATATTTTTTCTTGTCTGATATACATAGTAACAGGTAAAAATCTTAGATTAAGAACTGGATCTCATCAACCAGTCTTCAATGCGAAGTAAAGTTTAGCATACATATTTCTCAATGTGAATTTGAAAATAGGAAGAATAAAAGTTTCAGCAGGATGTTTCGTCGGCTCCTCATCAGTTGTATATATATACACTAAACACACAGATACCTTTAGTATAATGTATCACCAAGTAAATTATAACAATGGATATTCAGGCAGTACTGAGGCATCCGCATAAGAGTCCAATGGATAACAGAGGTCAGTCGATCCTGTTGAGTCCAACCACGGGAAGTGAATAGTGATAAAAAGTATGACTAGAGTTCGACTATGATCTCCATATTTCGATACTCTAAGTGAAAAGCAGCTGCTGAGAAGGGAACTGACGAAGTAAAGTGGCAGCGTGTTATTTATGCAAAATAAGGCATACCACTCAACATAATAACTGAGTGATCAGTTGGCATAACATAGTCAATAAGTCATCTTGGATTAATCCATTTTATACTCGCGGTCATAGAAAATGGTAATATCAGAGGTAACTCTCTCACGCGAAGTGTACCAGACAAATGACGCAAATCACTCGAAGAGGTTGTGAGCCTTCAGCGATTGGTATGACTTAGATATTTGTTGGTTTAGGGTAGCAGATCAAGGTGTGGCTGTTGATCTGAGCCTCATAGAGAGGTATAGATTACCCGACTAGGGTCCACTGAACCGTACCTCCCAGTGAGTGTTATAGTTCCTGCTAAGACATGCAGGTACATCCAGCTGACAACTCCCAAAATGGACGAAACCCATGTCCTGAATTCCACTACTACCTCTTATCCATCATTACTACCAAACTGAAACTACGGGCAATGTGGAGACATCTATTCAGAGGCCTATATGTCGATAGACAGATCAATTCGGTCCAATCAACGATAGGAAATTACAAAAAATAAATTCGGAATAGATCGGTTTTAAAATATTGGTTTGAAAAAAATAGCTAGCTAGAATATACCTGGTTAAGTTCCCCTTCTTCATTTCTTTGGTATTTTATGGTACCATAAAGGTGAATCAACAAACGTTTTCCCCGT